GGCTACTTTTTCAATTTCAACAAAAACTGTTTTCTCTGAGCCGAACTCATTGGGTAGCTTTAACCCAGCAATACCCAGACGCTAGGCTCGCACTTTGCTGTGCTTATTCCCCCTACAGTGCAGGAATGATTCCTAGTAAATTTCTATCAGGGGATACCGGCAAGAGTGTTCCTCCCAGTACATGTCGACGATGTAATACATTACCCTGAAACCCCCATGATCATATCTCCCATATCAGAGTCCACCCATGATGTATGTTCGGACTCTGATATGGGAGACTAGTTATTATATGGCTCCACAAAAGAAGAAAGACGCCAAAGAAACTGTTGAAAACAGCCTGAATACCGCTCCTGTGGTATTGCTTATCCATACTGTGATTGCCCTACTGCAAAGAACGTGTGCCTGAGTGAGAGACTCTGACGGCGAGAGGACGAAAAAAGAAAGAGATGAGAGAGACGCAGACATCTCCATCGCATCATTTTCGGGTGCAACTTGAGGATGGACGGGATTGTGGGACTATGCGACTCTTCCCACAAACCTCAGACTGCAAAAATGGCACCTGTCTGTGGACCCTATGGGAGGAAGTGCGCCACTTAAGTAGTCTTCTGCCTCCAAATATCCATTCAACCCAAGAGAGGTTGCAAAAGCCTAGAGCTCGCTCGTAGCAAGCTGAAGCCAGTTTCCCTTAGAGATAGCCTCAGTGTCCACGGCTCCGAAGAGGTTCACAAAGCGACTGAGATTGATATTCCGGTCATTGCCTAAGTTCACAAAGATCAAATCGATTGTTCGGATCGATTCTGAGCGTACGCATAGTTTATCTTTAATGGTCATAACAACAAACGTATTCTCTATTTCGTCACCACGCACATCGCTCTATAACAACACGTTCAGGTAATTCGCAGACTCTCAGTCTTCACTTTCTTAGTACGTCATCGAACCCTCGTGTCATCATGTCATCGCTTTGCATTTTTTCAGTACAAAACTCGTTTTCTGCGACACTGAACTCTCCAGACCGCCATTATGAGCCCTTTGTCATACTGCAGTAATATTACGACCACCGGTAAATGGGACTTGATTGCAGACAGTTGCCAACCTAAGAAGTTTTTATTTGTATGTTCCTGAGAACCACTTTTCGTCGTGATTACGGCAGCATCCTTCTTTCTATGCATGGGTGTTCAGGTGGGGGGCAGAGGGAGGTGATCTTATTCTTGATGTAAATTCGAAACGTTCTGATATTTGAGACTTCTCCAATGGCTTTTGACAGTCAAGAACTAACCCCACTTTAGTTGGAATTTCTCCAGAAAAAGCAAATTTTCTCATGGATGTAACCACAAGGCCAGAATTTAGTAGAAATGAAAAGGTAGTTGCGAGAAACTGAAATTCATAATAACTATTGTTAGCGGAAACATAATCGTGCTATAAAGATTTGTGTGTAAATGGAAAGAGTTGAGTCAGAAACTGTAGTGAAAGGAGGATATTCGGCGATTCACTCAGCAGCAAAGGCTTGATAACAACACTCCAGAGGGGATATCACTCATGCGCTTCTCGGAAAAGCGAGGGTGGGGCCGATAAACCGGGTTACGAGGAGAGTGTTGGGCGGGAGCGTCCAATAAAAGTCCTACTTCCGAAGAAAGGCCGAAGCGATGAACAAGAGGGGTGACCCAGTAGGCGCTTTCGACCATTCTGTATTAGCTGTTTACGTCCTAGTTTCCTCTCGCCGTGCTAATAGTGATCCTATACGTAAGTCAATGGGTTTGACGTCATCCCGTATGCTCCATCGTCCTTGAACAATCAGAAGGCCATCGTCTGTAATCCTGACTTCGTACTAATATACACCCCCTTCAAAAAAAATGTGTTACTCGAGATCTTCTGCTATGTTCATTTCTCTCGAAAAAAAAGACCGATAAACTCTCTCCGATTAATTTCGCGCAGTGTTTTATACAATAGGCATCCAGCATTTCAGGACATAAACTACCGACAGACATTCTTCGAAACGCGTGATTATTTCTTATCTCGCCTTTTTTCACATGCTAACAGAGCTGTCCCTGCTCTTATCAGCTCAGCCACGGCCGAACTCGACCTGCGCGCTGTTCTTGTTATCTCATGCTACATATACGTACTTTGCAATGGATTATGCGCAACCACACACCGCTGCCGTATGATCCGATTGAGTCTTTCCAATCCTTATAATTCCACAAACTAAATAGGTAACCATTTGTCGACACAACCGGAATACCCATACAACCCAGCTAAAATGACGAAACCACAGTTCAAAATCGGCACTTTTCGCCACGTGATTCGATTCGTGCTCCTCTTTTTTCTTCGGATTCATCAATATTCACGTGAATAATTCAGCTAGAGGCTCATTTTCAGGCAGTATGGGACAACACGGAACATCAATAGCCGTGTGTCAGTTCCTGGCTCTCTTTGCCTGCTTATTCGCTTTGCCGTCACTTCGAATTAATCATCACAAACCACGATCTTTAGACACATTACTAATGTCTGAAAGACGAGAAAATGTGAGTTCAATGGCATAAAAGCTATGATTCAGATCTATTGAAGAGGAAGAATAGCTAAAATCAATAGAGAATTGGCTCTTTGGGTCTTTCTTGAAACTCTAGCAACGTTAAGGGCCTTAGGAAAAAAGAGCTTACTCCTCACGGCAACGGCTCCCACGATAAGATTGCAGGGGTCCAGTATACATGGGGGAGAGTGAACGGGATTGTCCAGCTTTCGAGCAACCTAGTCAATGGACCGGGCTAAACCTCCTCTTTTCTCTTCTGGCTTCTCAAAAGTATTCTGTGCCCTATCGCAAGATACAGGGGCATCCTCTAGGACTATGCCTAGGAAGGGGCAGGAGCTTTTGGGAAATGAAATTGCTCACGCACTTGGTCTCTCCTCCCTTGCCTAAGGCTTAGTCCCGTTCTCAACAAAAAGGCGATGTTTTACGCGATTCCAAATGCATTGCCATCAAAATGCCCCCGTATCTTGCGATAGCGCCTAATTCTTTCTACAGCAATTAAGCATCACCCATTCAATTAAAGCAACAATCCCAGATGAGGTCGTTTCGAAGAATATGTTCTGTAGATGGGAAAGGGTAATCCCCAAGTAGCGCAGATGTGCCGTTGTCGCCGACTGTCGCGGCCGAAAATGAGCGAACAATATGGCGGGCCGGGGCCGAGGCCTCAAAAAGTGGCGACAAATAAGAACTTACGGACGAGATATTCTCGCCTTCGCTCTCACACAACGTGGATTACGGTAGCGGAAAAGATAGCCGATAGGTAGATGGATATGACACCCTTATATTTGAACTGGGATTTTGCTTCAAGGGTATTCATAATTCCCCGTTAATCCATGCTGACATCCCTTTTTCCAGAAATTGTTGGCCAAATTGCATTCCTATCTCGACAGAGGAGATTTAGGTGAACTCTCAGATGACAGAAGAGCGGTAAACTCTTTCCTCAACTCAAAAAGCTTCATTTTTTGAATACGCCTAACCAACCACTGTCCTACCTTCATTTCTTTCTTCGCAAGGAAATTGTTAACATCTATTGGGAACATTTCTCATGCCACCTAATCTTTCGCATTAAAGACTTTCTTTCTTGCATATTTCGCACGGCATGTATGTAATTACGGGACTCGGAAAAAACGATATCATGATGATTTGATTTGATGTTCTTGATGCTATCTGATGCCATGTGTGTCGCTAACACAAAAAGCACACTGATATCAAGCTTCTTCAAAGCCGTGAACTATCCAGTCCGTCATTACGACATGCTCAGCTGTAGGAAAAAAGTGTAGTTACCGGGAGCTGCGGAGTTAAGGCTACTTCGGAGAAAGAGATGAAAGAGTGAAGGAAAAAGTTGGCGTAAATTGGGAAAAGCAACCACTCACTTTTATCCCATGGCAAGACGGACCGATTGGTATCAGAACTGCCAAGCGAAAACCCCTTCTGGGTACAGAATGCTGCACTTTTACCCATTCCCATTACCTATTCTAGCCGGTAACCGCCTACATCCCACTTAGAAAACAAAAGAAGATTTTTTTTTCAAAGTTACCAGTACTGGAAAAAAATGGACCTGATTTTGGAAATGAATTAGGAAGAAAATTTTCAGGTTATCGCACCAGCGTCGAGAGAATCGCGAGAAATAAAATGGTTAGGGCGAAAAGAGAGGAAGGAGGTTATCCAAACGTGCGACCAGTACAATGCTCCTGGTCGCTATATGGTGTACTGTAGTGGTAAATTGCTGCAAGCTGTGATGGCCACAAGCTCTATAACGATCAAAAACATTCTCGAGTCAACAATGAAGGAAGGACGAACTGGGAGTCAAATAATCAGCGATTTCGAGCGGCAGTTTCCGCAGCCTGTTTCACAGATCTCAAAAGACGACGTGAAGAGATTTGTCGACGAGAACTTCGACAAGGAAGGACAAGAGCTTCGTAGGTAGGACTTCGTTAAAATGGAAATGGGTGTTCTCCAAGAGCCCCGTCGCGCGGCGAAAGGAGAGAAAAGACGAGTGCGGCAAAGGACGAGTCGCAGCGCATGCTGTGCGATATGAAAGTCTATTTCACCTGACGCCTAACCGCTAAATATGCGCTGCGACTCGTCCTTTGCCGCGTCTGCGTCTCTTCCTTCGCAGCGCGACGGGCCTCTTTGGGGGACACCCATGGAAATGTAGTACTTCAATTAGCGTATTGGTACTAATCAAAACACTATTTCAGCTGCACCCTCTCGACTGGACCAGGTATCCGGCAAGTTTCAAAACGATCAAGGACAATAACCTGCGATTGTTCGCTTTGAATTTGAACGCAATCTGGAAGGAACTTCTGTCGCGAGATGAAGCCCGCTGTCAAGGATTCTCCCGAGCGATTTTCACTTCTATACGTCCCTCATCGCTTTGTTGTACCTGGAGGACGATTTCGCGAATTCTACTACTGGGATGCTTACTGGATCGTGAAGGGTTTACTCGCGTCAGGAATGACGGACACCACAAAAGAGTATGATTGACAATTTCGCCTACATCGTTGATACCTATGGATTTATCCCGAATGGTGGTCGAGTTTACTATCTACGACGATCACAGCCACCTCTATTTATACCAATGGTCTATGAATATTACTTGGCTACAAGAGACAAAGAATTCCTTCGTACAATGCTTCCCATTATGGAGAAAGAAATTCAATTCTGGCAAAAAAATCGCACAGTATCTCTTGGAGTCGACGGAGAAACCATCACGATGTATCAGTACAGGACTCCTTCCACGGTGCCAAGGTGAGATTATTTCGAAATAGGGAGACAATCGCTACCTCAAAATACGGGGGCAAGCGCTATCGCAAAATACGGGAACAGGCGTTCATGTACTTGTGGGGGGAGGGGGGACATCCAAAACAGGGCCGAGATTAGGACCAGGGTCAACCGTTACGTTGGACCGATATTGGAGCGACGTTGGACCGATGTTCACCGCTCTCCGCGCCGGCATTCACTCTCGCCACCCGCGAGCCGTCTGTGTCTCCGTGCGTACGTTCACTCTCGGCATTACTCTCGTCGTCGCGTTGGACTTTGTCCAACGGACGGTTGACCCTGCTTGGGGATAAACTGAAGAATAGGAGAAACGGCGCAGGGAAAAACATAATTGGTTTCAATGCTCCCAGGATCCTTTCCCCTCCCTAGCGCTTAGTCCAGAGCACAGTAATTGGCTCACTCACTTGGATATGTCCCCCACCCCGAGGACATGAGAACCACGGGGCATCCTTGAGGGCTATGGCTAGAAAGGGCAGAACCTCCTAGGAGATGGAAATTACCGACGCATCTCAAGCCCTAGAATCTCTGCTCCCTCTGAGGCTTTTTCCCGTTTTAAACAAAAAAAGGAGATGTTTTTGATGATAACGAATGCACTGCTACCTAATGCCCCGTATCTTGCGATAGCGCTGGGGAACAATGTCACCACACAGAGAGAGCCATGGTACTCAGGTTTTTCGAATGCTAACTCTGCAAAGGGGGACATTCTCAAATGCAAAATCATACAACTGTAGCCAGATTTGTTTGTTTACCCTCGAAAAGGACTGAATCCCACCATTTCAGACCGGAATCCTATCGCGAAGACGCCTCAGCCGCTGCAAATATAACCGGATCCAGACGCTAAACTTGCAATTCTACCAGGATATAGCCAGCGGAGCCGAGGATGGGATTTCTCTATTCGTTGGTTCGCCGATAAAGTCTCGCTCAACTCCATTGAAACCACTAACGTGGTCCCAGTTGATCTCAACGCTTTCATCTGTTACAATTTACACATTCTAGGAGCTTTACACGCTGAAGTCGGTACGTATTCCTGGTTTTCATACCATAATTATTACATGGGCTTTTTTTTCGGGCAAAATTTCCTTGAAGGAAAAACATTTCAGGAAATGAGCATAAGAGCTCGTCTTGGACTGCACAATATATCAAATTCCGTGGAGATTTCGAAAAGATCTTTTATGTGAAAGAAGCCAAAGGCTGGTATGACTACAACCTCCGCACAAAACAACACAACACCGATTTCTATGCATCGATTGCTGTTCCTCTATTCACACAATGTTACGAACCACTCAGCTTGTCAAAAAGCGATGATTTATATGACAAAATGGAAGAAATGGGTGTGTTCAGCTACGTAGGAGGAATTCCCACAAGGTAAGCAACAGATTTCATTAAATTACAACCGAAAAACTCGACAGTTGTGGGAAACCTAGAGCTACGAGGAAGGGCTACTGGCATCAGATACTGCTAGCAGCGCAGACTTCGGGTCCCTTGGCACGATCGGCCCTCAGCTCGCGCACCAAGCCAAACCCAAAAAAGGGATCAAAAAGCCAGTTGGAGCATTTAAACTTTTCATACACACAACATTTGGCTGTTTGCCTAACGATAAGGCTTCATTTCAAAGAAGCTTCCCATCTTTGATAAAATTGTTGATGAAACCAGAATTTATTGAAAAATAAAAGATCCCAGGTTCATCAACGGAACGTGGTAGGTCTGAGATATCCCAGATTTCTCCCAGAGCTACTATTCCGGTGTATGTATGGCTATAAATAATCAGAGTTACCGTCCTAGTGAAACTGATTGCATTCCTCTTCGTAAACATAATCAATCAGCCACCAACTTTGCAGTATTCATGCACTTTTCACGAAGGACCCAAGGAAGACTTCTAAACTAGTTGTGGAGACTACCAGGAAAAGATTTATCCTAAGAACCTAATATACCTGAGCAAAATAGCCTTGGACCATGCTGTTCAGCATTATTCAGACCAACAAAGCTACAAGAGTTCCCCGATTTTGTAGGAAAGTGTTCACGAATTTCAAACAAATATTTCAGTTTGCAATTACAAAGTAAACAACAATGGGACTTCCCTAACGGATGGAGCCCTTTGAACCACATGATTATAGAAGGCTTGCGAAAATCCGATGACCCTAGGTAACATTTTTTACGATCTTTTCTTATAGCAGCCATTTCTTGAGACTCAACCATTTCAGGATGCAACAAAAATCATTCCTCCTTGCTGAAAAATGGATTCTTTCCAATCTTCACGTGTTTGAGAGTGATCAAGTTATGTGGGAGAAGTACGATGTGGTCTCAGCGAGTCCACGACTTGGAGGAGGTGGCGAGTACCTCGTACAGGTACGGCAGCTCTTCTATCAGCGGAAAACCTAGTCAAAAAGTCAGGGGCAGGGCTAAAGCAGCACCGTGGGGGGATCGAAATATGTAGATACCCAGAGCGACAAGCACCTCTAGGACAAGTGATCTGCTAGACAGAAATTTATGCCTTATAAAACCTTCCG